GGACAGGCGCTCCGGCTCCGCCGAGGCGAACGGAGCCTCCAGCCCCCTCCTGGGCCCCGCGCGGTGCGCGCCAGAGTCCCGGCGGGACAGGATCTCTTCCATGGAGGCACATTTGTTCTTCTCTGAGTACGACAGCTTTTTGGGGACCTGCGGGGTGTACATGGCCCCCCTGTCGAGGGAGTCCTTGCGCTGCCCGGCCCTGTCCCAGGGGGCCGGCTCCCGGCGCGGGAGGCTCCCCGTCCGCCCCTTCTCCGCGGCGTCCTCGGGGCCGGAGCGGCGCCGGCCGGCGGTCAGGTGTGCCACCGACTTGTCCAGGTCCACCCGGAAACTGCCCTCGCAGGTGCTCTGCTCCTCGGGGGACGCGTCCTCCTCCTGGATCAGGTCGAGGGTCAGCATGCCGTCCGAGGTTGAGGTAGATGCCTGGGGGGGCAGAGAGGGCACAGTGGGTTGGGCACCCGAGGGGCTCCCCACACACACACCCCCCACACACAGCACGGAGAGGGAAAGGGACAGGCTGGGACTTCTCCAGAGGGTCTGCACGGCCCCAACGCTCCATGAGGGAGGAGGAACTGGTGACCCAGAGCTGCCCCGACGGCGACTCTCAGCTCCGGCGCCGGCTCTTCCCGCCCTTACTCGCTTGGGAAGGCTCCCGAGGGGATTTCACCCGGGGAGGGAGGGTTGCACCTACCACAGCCATCAGGTGTCCCCGCGTGGGAGGGCGCCGGGAGTGCTGGATCTTGGCCCTGTCGCGCGTGGGGTGGGCGAGGAAGCTGTCCTCTTCCACGGTGACCTGCGGGGTGACACGGGCGGGGTGACCCTCCCAGGCTGTCCCTTCTTGCCCCAGGAACGGAGGGGTCAGAGGGGCTGCCGCTGCCCAGCGGTCTCAGACCTTCCCCCAGGGTCAAGGCTGAGGCAGGGCACGCGGGTCCCGCTCACCTCGTCCAAGATGCGGTTTTTGGCGCGTGTGATCGCGGAGTTGAGGGCGTTAATCCAGGACTCCTTCTCCTCCGGACTCACAGCCAGGAAGATCAGGTTTGGTGCCTACCAAAGAGTGGAATTCAGGTCAGTGCCACTGAGTGAACTCACACAGAGACCTGAGCCTCCAGCCCTGCAAACGGTGCTGCCCCATCCCATCCCATCCCACACAGCACCAGGACCATCCCCATCCCTCCTTCCCCTGCATCCCCCAGGACCAGCTGCACCCCATGCACCGTGTTTCCAGGCTGCCTGGAGTGGGCCAGGGTGAACTTGCTGTGGTTCTTTTTGCTTCTGCTTTTGGACTTCCTGAGCTCTTCACATTTCTCGTAGTCACTCAGGTCGAACGTTTCCTGTATGGTTTTTTCATCTTTCACCTGCGAAACAGCAAGAGAATCAGAGCCTTGCAGATGCTGGATGGAGAGGCAGCTTGCCCCAGCCACCAGGACCTCAGCAGGACTCGTCTCTTCTGGAACCAGGGGACATATTTAAAGCATGGCATGAAAATCTCGCTTTCCCAGATTAATTCCCACCAGAGTTACTGGGGCCAGGCTGAAAGGCCAGGCAGGTGTGATCAGACACAGTGTTCATGCTTTGTGGACCCTCAAAACGAGCAGGGTTTGCTCCAGCTGTGAGGAGGGGGGTCCTGTGTGCCAGGAGGGGGTGGAGGAAAGAGGTGAATCTCATCTGTGATTCAAAGGGACAATCATTCTCTGCAGACAGCGGAACAAGAGTCGGAGGGATAAGGATTAGCACTTCCCATTTTTACTCTGTGCTGGCAGCTGACTCTGGGGGTGGCTCCCAGAGTGCTGACACCACTCTGAGCCAGGGGTCTGGGGGG